CTCATCTGCGGCGACGTCAACGGTCACTCACCGCAGTGGGACCAGAGCGGTGCAGAAGAAGACAGCATCGGAGAATTGATAGCTGACTGGATGCTGGACGCGGACTTCATGGCTGCAAACACGGGCGAGGCCACGCGCATCAATCGGCACGACGGAAGTGGTACGACACCGGACGTCACGCTACACCACGTCGCATCCGCTCACCTGGTGCAGTGGGAAGCGGTAAAAGAGCTCGGCTCGGACCATCTGCCCATCCTCGTCGAAGTGCGCCTCCGAGGCCGACTCCCGAGAGAATACCGCCGCACCTTCTGGAATCCGAAGAAGGCGAACTGGCCAAAATTCAGGCAGCTGATGACCCAGAACCTGGAGAACTGGACGTGCACCGACGACCAATTAGCCAAGAAGAACAACGACTTCGCAACCGCGGTCATGACGGCCGCCGAGCAGAGCATCCCAAAAGGAAACAGGCGACGACACAAGCCGTTCTGGTCAGCGGAAGTTGCAGACGCATGCCGAGTGCGCAACAACGCCAGAGCCCACGGCACACCAGAGGAGTATGCCGAAGCAGCAGCCAATGCGCGCAGATCGGTCGTGGAAGCCAAGCAGAAGAGCTGGAGGGAATACACATCCACGCTCAATGCCAAGACGGACGATAACCGCACATGGCGCGTCATCAAATCGCTCGACGGTAGAACTGGCCAGCCTAGACCAAGTGCAGCCATCAGCAGAAACGGACGGCTCGCAACGACGCCTAAGGCTAAGGCGAATGCCTTCATCAAAGAATATGCCTCCGTAGGCCGATTGCATCACACCAAAGACGACCGCCGTTTCCATAACACCGTTGTGGACCGGCTCAAAGGCCAGTGCAGACGCGACCACTGCCGAGACTTCGGCCGTCAAGAACTCGAAGCAGCCCTTAAGGAGTTAATGTTGAAGAAGTCGCCCGGAGAAGATGGTGTTAGCAACGACATGCTCGTGAACCTCCCGGAGCGCGGCCGTGAAGCACTCCTACAAATGGGGAACGCATCCTGGCGGACAAAGAGATGCCCCGGGCGGTGGACCAGTGCCGTGATCATACCGATCCCAAAAGCTGGCAAAGACTCCAGCAACGTCCAGTCGTATCGGCCGATCAGCCTGACCAGTTGCATCGCAAAGACAATCGAGCGGATGATCAAGAATCGGCTTGCCGACTGGTTAGAGCGAAACAACAATCTGTCTGCAGCACAAGCCGGATTCCGCAAGATGCGTTCCACCGAAGACCAGTTGCTACGCGTAGTGCAGTCGGTGTCAGATGGCTTCAACGCGAAGAAACCTCCGAAGCGGACGGTCATGACACTGGTAGACTTCTCGAGAGCCTTCGACCGCGTCTGGCGCACGGGCCACAAAATGCTCGAGAAAGGAGTCCCACTGTGCCTGATCCGGTGGATCCGTGCATTCCTCTGCGATCGGCGCGCCCGTGTCCAAATCGATGATGCAAAGAGCCGCTCGTACACGCTCAAGTGCGGAACACCGCAAGGCTCAGTCCTGTCACCGCTCCTGTTTCTCATCTTCATCGATGACATCCTCCAAGGCATGCCGCAGGAAGTCCAGGCCAGTCTTGACGCCGACGACCTTGCTCTTTGGTCGCAACACGAGCGCGTCGAAACAGCCACGGAAGCCATGCAGACGGCCCTCAACCGCCTCCTGGACTGGTCAAGGCAGTGGAAGATGGAGGTCAACGTCGACAAGACGTACAGCATCGTCTTCACGACGGACCCACATGAAGCTCGCTACAGGCCAGACCTCAGATATAACGGCCAGGAGGTTCCTTACGACGCCACGCCCACGTTCCTTGGCCTGACGCTCGACCGCACGTTGTCATTTAATGCGCATGCTAAGAAAGTCCGAGCAAAAATGGAGAAGCGCCTCAGCATGCTGTCAGCACTTCGAGGAACTACGTGGGGATGTCGAAAGAAACTCATGCGAAACCTCTACACGGCGTACGTCCGATCAGTGGCCGACTATGGCGGAGCTGCATGGATGCCAGCTGCAGCGAAGACCACGATCAACCATATCGAGACCGCCAACAAGCGAGCTGCGCGCATCATAACCGGTTGTACCCGAACAACACCGTCGGAGATGCTCCTGGACGAAGCCAACCTACTCCCGACCGAGCACAGGCGAGACCTCCTCTGCTGCATCGCATATGAGAAAGCGGTACGTCTACCAGACGACAACCCGCGGAATACAGCTGCCAGTCACCCGCAGCGGCAACGCCTTCGGTCGCAGCCATCGTTCAGAGAACTTGCCAAAGGACACCCAGTCCAACGCAAGCTAGACCAGTACCCGCGAAAGAAGCTTGAGGCCATACCTCCGTCAGCACCGTGGAAACCGCCGCCCAACATCACGCTGCATACAGAACTCAGACGGCCGATCAAACGGACAGACGATCCTGGACTAAAGAGGCAGACGATCACCTCCTTACGAACGGAGGTGCAGGCTTCGTCGCCGAATACAAGGACCGACGGAACCGCATAGCCATTCACCAGAAGTCAACGCAAGCCGGCAGTGTGTGCTCAAGCTTCAAAGCTGAACTCGTCGCCTTCGAGGCAGAGCTCGTGTGGCTCTCGCAGTCTCTAAGAAGCATACTGATGACGGAGCACGAAGTCCGGATCTGCACCGACTCTCAGTCCTTCGTTGGAGCGCTCCTTTCCGGCCCGCAGCGAAGACAGGACGCCACAAGCAAACACGTGTGGCAGCTCAATCGAGCAGCTCTTCCCAACAGGCGGATGTCACCTCACCGTCCAGTGGATCCCGGGACACTGTGAACTCTACGGGAACGAGGCAGCTGATAAGGCAGCCAGAGAAGGCGCCATAGCGGACGGCCAATACGACATTGCCATAGACTTCAACACCGCGAAGGCAGTGATTAAGCGGAAGGTCGAGCAATACTGGAAGCGCTCCATCGACCATCCGTTCATGGAGCACAAGCGAAGAGCTTCGTACATTGGCCAGTCAAATCTTACGGTTGCAGAAGAACGCATCCTCAGTCAACTTCGTTGCGGTGGACACTGCCCGATCCTGCAGAAGTATCTCCACTTCATCCAAGTCGCAGAAGACGACACGTGCCAGATGTGCCGGAGGGAGCCAGAAACGGCAGAACATTGCCTACTCCGTTGCCCGGCTACAGAAGTGGTGCGGCACCAGATATTCGGACGTAACGTCAACTTAAGTGCGCTGTGGGAGCGCCCAGAAGACGTGATCAAATTCCTTCGGAGAACCGGACGTCTCGACGCCCGGCAGCACTAACTGCTCGTCCAGAACGACAAAAAAAAACATGCCTCTTATCGTCACGCTTCTTGCTCTTGCAACAGTGTTGCATGCAGAGCTAGTCGAAGAGTGCACGTGCGCGCAGGTTAGCCGCTGTCGGGAAGACGCTAACAAGCTGTTCGAGCCGTGTGCCGCCGGTTGCAAGGTAGGCCACTAGGCTTCGGGCCGAAACATCGGGCTGACAACAAGCCAGTAAATTTCAATGACCTGCATATCCAGGGACAGCAGGGATTTAAGCAAAGTTTTGTTGCATGGGTAAGGAAGGCAAGGAAGTTTCCCCTGCGCTTAACAGGGGACGTGGTAGAAAATGCATCAGGCAAAGGGTTTCCGAATTTTGATAAGGTAGAGGTACGGTGTAGGTATGGGTAACCGGTGGAAGTAGGAACACTGATCGGGCAGGGAACGTTGCAGCGAATTTTTCCTGGCCTGACCGGCAGGCAGTGATTCTCTGTCTACCCGGAGGACTTTCTGTGTACTGCTGAACGCGTTTTAGTTTCTGCTACCGGGCGTTGGTCGGCGCAATCAGGCCGTGCAGTGCCTGTCTTCTGAGGTGCACAAGAGCGGCGGATGCTTCGACGTCACTCACACTGAAAGGTAAGCTTACATTGATCCTTTGAGCGACTTCATCCTTGCTTAGCTGTGCAAGCAGTCCTGGAAAGATGATCGACGTGTCGAATGCTGTCGCTAGGCAGCAGTTTCTCAGGCGAATGGGTAGTTATGAGCAAGGTAGGTATCAAACATCCGCAATCCCAAAGATCCGCTCTAGACATGCAAATAAACGCATTCTTCGAATGTGTGGACCGGTGTGTGGTTAACAAAATGCTCGCCTTCAACTCTGAAGTCGACCATTCATCTTGCCAAGAACTCCTCTCGTGTGGAACGCTTCGGCGTGAGAATGAGCAAGCGACAAAGAAGAAGAATGCTTGTCGGGCAGAGATATGCAATTGCTTAGCAGGTGCCGGAATGGAGTAAGTCTTTTAGCGTAATTTATTGTTGCTTGTGGAATGCAAACGAGCTTCAGTACTACCTTTAGAGCGTCGTGCGGTCTTCAAGTAGTGCCTAACCCTCTCGACGAGCTTGCATGAAGCGTACCCATTTTCAGCGGAGCCTCTACAGAGGACCGTTCTTTACGTTCTTATGTAGTTGGAGCGATTAAAAGTAAATAAATTTATAACACAGATAGACAAGGCAATAAAGCCAATTGGATTTGTCCGGCATCATAGCGGCACCAGTCTACAAGTTATCGAATGATGGTCGCTACCGTTACGCCGAACACAAGAGGAAACAATTTGCCGACGCTGCTTAAACTAACACAAATTTGCTTCCGTCAAACGGGACGATGGACTGACCACTGCACTTCAACAAAGCAAACGGATAACGTGTGGCGTGGTCTATAGCTAACGGGATTAGGACCTCCCGCTGATTAATCTCCGATGGTGCGGCGCATTGCGCAAGCGAAGACGCCACATCGTTCTTGTTGCAATGCGCGAATCTTCTTGCAATTCAACCTTCTGACTTGCAAGGATTAACGCCGTAAAAGCAAATCCAGGCGCAGTAAGTATCCTGGCCGTACTTAAACAGGGGTCCCGTGGCAATGCTCAGTCAATCACCGCATTTGCCTTCGATAGTTCAGCGTTCGCCGAAAATGCACGTCATCATTTCGGCAACGCTTATTGTCTCGCTAAATGTCCTCATAATACCGTCACAGGCCTGCATATTCCCTATGCAGTCGTGCGGCTGTGGTAAGTACCGTATTTCCTCTAATAATTCCCTGGGGAATTATTTGTACACGTCGCCAATAGTGCCAATTTTTAGCTACGCCGCCACCACCACCGGCACCGTGCCCTCCCCCGTGCCCTCCGCCATGATGCGCACCACCACCATAAGTTTATAGAATGTATAGGCGGACAGGCAAGTCACCGTAACAACTAGAGATCGGGGGTGACCCCCCGTACCGTAGCCGTACCCGTACTGGACCCCACCGTGCCGTAGCCGTACCGTAGTGCATTTTACGGCCTGTAAGCCGTAGCCGTAATGAAGTCAAAAATTTGCCAAAATTGCGCTATCATCCAACGAAAAAACGTAGAACCATGCCTATGGGTAACAGATAGCACATGGCTACTATTTGTAATCGAAAATAGCCCTTGTTGACCTAAAAAAATTAGCAATTTTTGCCTTTTTTCTTTAAAAAAAATTGCTAATTTTCTGAAGTTTTTTACAACCAAAGGGTCCCCCCTTACCTATTTTACGGTACGGCTTACGGCGGATGCGGTGGCGGTGGATGTGGCCGACGTAGGAAGAGACAGGTAGTCCGTCCAAGCATCATGTTTCATAGCACAGGCACAGCGTAGCACACAGCATAGCATAGGACTTAGGTATCCGGACCTCGAGTGTTCACGTACACCTTCCGAACGTGTCCTCGTGCTGAGTGGCGACCAGTCATCGAGAACGTAACTGCAGAGCTTTCCGCATACCGGACACTGCTTTGCTTTCAGAACATTATTTCCGAGCCCACTAGTGCCGTTTCTGCAGTCCAGGAGGCCCTCTCCAAGGAGTACGGGCAGAAGTTCCTGGTCCGCTGCAAGGCAAACAACGGTAATGCGTTCGTGAAACTGGCATCGGACGGAGAGGCATACTGTGCAGTTGTCAAGGACGGCATCTGGTGTCGGGCCGAACAGCCGACGGCCTAATATCGCTCGAAAATGTTCGAGGTACTCAGGCTTCGATGCTTTCTGACACCTTAAGCGGACTAGCTTAGTTTAATAAATGCCTACGATTCAACGTTACGACTGTTTGAAATGCTATGTTCTGTGTGCGTCCCCCCTGACGGAAATCACGAAGTACTCGGTTGCGCGACTCCTACGAGTTCCGACTGAATACCAACATAGAATTGAATTCATTTATTGAGAACTGAATAGAGCATATCGTATTAGTAACCCCTATTAAATGAAAACTGGTTGCGCAATTGATCCAAATCTCACTTAGCACATGCAGGGCTAAGCGAGTTTAAAAAAACTCATTTAGCACATGAAGAAATAATTGCGCACAAGCGGCGCAATTGGTAAGTTGGGTGCGCAATCGGTAACTTTTACACCATTTTGGTGCGCAATTGGTAAAAATTGGGTGCGCAATCGGTAACTTTTACACATTTTGGTGCGTATTTGGTAAAAGTTGGGTGCGCAATCGGTAACTTTTACACATTTTGATGCGCAAGTGGTAAGATTTGGGTATGAATGCGGCGCGTAAAATGGAAGGTATGCAAAAGCGTCGTATGGAAATGGAATGGGCGCTCATGGAATGGGCGCTTAATAATGAGAAGGTACGCAAAAGTACAGTATGGAATGGGCGCTTAACGTTGAGAAGGGATGGACAAGTACAGTATGGAATGGGCGCTCATGGAACGGGCGCTTAACAATGAGAAGGTACGTAAAAGTACAGTATGGAATGGGCGTTCATGGAATGGGTGCTTAGCGACGAAATGGACGAGAAAGTACAGTAAATAATGGAAGACCGAATGACTGTAACATTAAGGAAGGGGCGCGTTAAATGGAAGGGAAGCAAAAGTACAGTATGGAATGGGTGCTCATGGAATAGAAGTAGTGCTCTACGATGATATGGAAGAGAAAGTACAA